TTTGTACTCCAACCATCCTACGGGACTTGTCAAGCACATGCGTTTTACCCGTGATGAATCATTGCTCATTGTTCATTGCCCGTGTCAATTTTGAAATGCACCGGAAGCTGGTTAACACAAAGCAGCACGCAAAACGACGTTTGTGCACTTGAGGTAGTTGTGTTAAGTATCTATTCCTTTCGATCAGTAGCAGCAAGCTGGTTGTTTACTACCGGGGAATATCGATTTGTACTGGACCGGCACATACCTGCCAAGTGTCCACGTTTTTGGCATTTGTTACCATCTGTCTGTGCATGTTTGCATTCTCTAAGATGACGGTGCCGCAAGCCGCAGCCGTAACAGTTGGACGAGGGTGTAGTGTTTTCATGAACTTTGTTGGCTTCGGCCGTGTCATCTTCATCATATGTCTTTGAATTGAGCTGTAAATTCTGTAGAAGCTGGGCATAAGTTTCAGCAGCCTCCAGGCCCCTCGCAATTTCATAGGCAGTTTCCAATGTAAGTGCGTTATAGGCCAACGGGCAGCGATGGATGCGAACGTTTTCAAGCGAACCACCGGAGGAAAACGGATCATGTCCTTTCGGTGGTTACCGAAATCACAATATTCTATCAACTTCCGAAGATGGACCACGAAGGAAGCAACTGACTCCGTCTCACCCTGGACTCGGGAGTTGAATAAAAACGGCTGCGCAATAGCTGATAGTTTTTGATTATGGTGATTGGAAACCAGTGTGACTAGTTCAGTAAATTGTTTGGTGCCTTGCAAATCGGGAACCACCAAGCTGCGAATTAACTCATATTTTTATGAGCCACAGCTACTCAGTAGGATATTCACATTGTCGCTAACGTTTTCGTTAGCAGCGTATACAGTTCATACGCTAGATGCAATGGTTCCATGAACCGGATCCCTCCGTGTGTCCTACCAAATTCCCGATGGAGGCCATGGGGTCGATAAATCGTCACGAGCATTGTTAGTGAGAATACGGAAATGCAAAGGACACAGCTGTAATGTGTACACAATACGAAGTCACTGGTTCGCTTAATAACATGGATATTTATTCGCGCACTTGAGTCATGTGAATGGCCAGACAGACCATGACTTGGGATACCCAATCACAACAATCACAATGCGATCTGCCAGCATTAAACCGTCGTGCACTATTTTACGGCATCTTTACACACAAAATATGGTTTCACTTCATCGTCTGATAGAATTCTTGGCCAGCCGTTGCGAAGATAAAAGATGACTCGTTGTAAACAGCTATCTGATCGCTTAGACTCACAAATGTCATTGTACGTAAGTGATAATTTTTTAATGGATTCCCCAAAAATGAATTTTATGTCAGCATCAAGCCAAACTGATGAAATGACCGTGTCCTCACGTGGCTGCGAATTTGATCTGTTAGCCATCAGGCGATAAGGCGTCAACATGGCCAAAGCATTCCGGACATGTGATTTTACACAGGTGAAGAGAGGTTTTCAAATAGCTCCATCTTGTCGCACCACTTAGGGTAAGGTCACGCTGGTTCGCAAAACGAGTTCATGGTCGTGGCCAGCTGGATGCCGTTGTCATAGCTGTTGTGTAACGTCCTCCGAGAATCAAAGGAAAGTTTGGGCTGCTGTCTGGACCGATTTGCCTAGAAGGTAACATATTATTTATAGGGCAAACTACGCTTCCTTAAGTCATTCCGATTAGGTCTTTCATGGTTGGCTGACTTTGGCAGGTTCATCGATCGAGACAATAGGTCTTGCGGGTCTACAAGGCGATTCTCACTCATTCGTGTTAGCGTAGCGGCTCGGCTGGAGGCGGACAATAGATCACGAGTGGCCACTTGCCTATTCGTTCCGAATGCGTAGTCGAATACCAACAGTTGCCATTACAATGCTCATAGCACAACCCTGCTATTTACAGTATGGGATCATTAGGTTTAGTAATTCCGTATGTTCTTCCGCTGCGCGTCCTCTTTGTGTCTTCTCCGGCAACTCTGCTTTCCTACTGATTTGTCGTTCGCTCGACTTCACACTCCTTGTCGGTTTCGCCGATACAAACCGTTTCCCACCCTGACTACATAACTTCTTTCTTCCACCTACGTTTTCACAACTTCTCTCTTCCGCCATTTTACTGCTCTAGGCACCAGTTGTGTCCACACCACTTCGTCGACCCGAAGTGGTGTTAAGGTTTTAGATCCGCGGTCATAACACCGTTTCTGCCCAAGCATTTCTTTTTTACAACGGCCACGCATCATCGTCGGGGACTGCGTTTCCGGTTGGAGCAGGATTCTGGCCACGAGAAACAAAGTTCTCGTTCTGCGTCTAAATAAACGGTAAACGCAGCTCACTCGGATTTTCGGAGACAGAGAGTTTCTTACTCTCTCTGGATGGTCAAGTTTGGACTTTACGTTGTATGATTGGATTGCGACGCGCAATCTCAATGTAATGGACTGTGATTCACATTGAAATGAACCTTAGTCACTGCGATCGCTGGGACCGTATTCAAAGTAGATGGAAATTGGGTATTGCCCACCCGAAAACACTGCATAGCCACGACGCGTTTCGATGTAATTTCATCTCATCAGGTGGAGACAGCAGGCCTCGATCCTGCGACCATTGGAATAGTAGCCGAAACCTCTACCCCTTTGCGTTGCATAGCCTTTGGGATTGGCACCTGATTTACTTTGCAGATCAAACTGTCTTGTACAAGGAGTTCATCACGAAAACTGGGAAACGGTGTCAGTCACGCCGGCAAGCTCCTCTTATCCTCTGGTCATCCATCAGCTAATGTCCGTTGGTAAGTTTCGCAAACTGCATCTTCCTCTGTGCAACGTCACAGTCATTGTAATAGCTCTCCGGTGACGGATGGTTGCTGTGTCGCGTGAACCGTGTCGGGGTTCTCTTGCATTGCACATGCATCCGAGAGATGGGCTCTCTAAAACGCGTCTGTGATATACATTTGCTTCTTAGGCTGCTAGACTATTTCTCGATGGTATTTAAGAAGCCTGATAAGCATCCGCTAGAGACGACACGACACAACATGGAGTGGCTTTTTGATGATTGATATCAATGGCGTGTGACCTGTATATACTGTGGTCTGTTGCCCAGAAGTGTAGTCAATGAAACGTTCGACCGTATTTGTGATTGTGAGCATCTCCTTCTCATTTTGTGCATAACGAAATTCGGCTGGTGGCAAACTCTTAGTTCGACAATCCAAAAGTTTCCCGTTTTGGATCAGCATCGCTCCAATTCTATGCTGATTGATACCGCAGAGTACATCGAAAGGCAAAGATGGTTAAAATTAAGCAAGAAATGGAGCAGCCACGATCAAATATTTTAATCGAGTGAAGACTTTTCATGTTTGTTATTTCAGTGCCGGGCTTCTCTTTTGTGCGTCAGTTTGCGTATAGAAGTCATTATTTCTACTAGTCGTGAACTAATGTGACTCAGGTAGTTGGCCGTACCATTCAACCGAAGGACTCCTTTCATGTCAGTAGGGGGTGGCTCTTCTGTTATCTACATAAGCTTTTCTAGATCAACTTGCAATCCATCTAAGTTCAAAACGCGTCCGTTAAACCCGACCTCTGATTTGCCAAATATGACTTCGCCACGTTTCAATTTAATGTCCTTGTCGGCACGTCTCTGGCGAAACCGAGCGAGATTAGGGTCGTGTTCTTCTGAATTGGAGCCAAAAATCAGTACGTCGCCAGCCACAGCAATCGTTCCTGGCAAATCTTCTAGAGGTTATAACAGGCGTTTATGGAACATTTGCTTTGGGACCTTTAAACCCAGTGGTAACCTAAGCCCCAGGAATCTCTGGAATGGCGTGCCGAAAGTCGTCAGAAAGCTCGATTCGTTATCTAACCCAACATGCCAGATTATGGGAACCAGCTCAATGTTTCTGAAAAACCTTGCTATTAATGGAACTGGAAATATATCGTCTAATGTCGGTAGGCTGTAGTGCCCTCTTCTAGGAGCGGCGTTAAGCGATTTTGGATCGATAGGCAACCGTTGCTCACCGGACATCTTAGTAACAGTTGCCACCTGGCTGACCCAATGAGTTGGGGTCATCTGATCCACCCAACCCAAAGGTAAATCGAGCATGGAGAATGAAGTTGGTTCTGACAAAAATTTAGTTAGGGAAACATTTAAATAACATAAAATTGGATCAATCATTCAGTAGAGGAAGAACGGCAACGGGGAGCAGTAAGCAGTGTGGACAATTGACGGGCCACTAGAGGCAATCTGTGTAACTGAGGTAACACTCCGTGAACTCTGATAACTTCCCGCTGCCACCCACCTTGTGTGACAGCGCGTTACCTCTTCATATCCGCGCTCCACGAGACTAAACTGCATCAGTGTATTCCGCTCGTAGCGAAGTATCCAGGTAACAGAATGACACGACGTGGACTTATCGGCCAGGATCGGTGAAACAGTTTGATAGTTCTGCCACATGATCCGTTCGCAGCTGGTCACAACTAGTAGCAGACCACTCATCCTTTTTCTTTACTATAAGAGGGAAATTGTGCATTTCTGAAGACGGCACTGCGCGAGTTGTGTTGAAGTCTGTCACTTTATATTTTCTGACCAGCTGTCTGTTGAACTTTGACAGCATACACTGATAAAGTCGAATCCTCCATATGTACGAAAGCTGCTTATGTAGGTGTAGCTAACTCATCGGAATATCGCTATGTCAAGTATTTCCTTTCGGTTCAACCTAGGTAATTGCCTAGTAGTTCGTGAAGTCGTCTTGGGCGAGCACAGCTAGACAGATTGCACCAACAGCTAACAACTCTATTTGTCATGATGCAGCCTCACAGAAACTGATCCCTTCGCCATATCTTCCTCCCTTCGGACAACTTATCCACCATTAAGAAGGTTCCGCTCTTGTTTAAAATCATCAACTGACTCAGTAGCTTCACCATACTCGATTTTGTTCAGCAGTTTGAACTTCCATTAACACTATCGAGGATGTACTTGTAAAAATGCCTGTGGTATTTAAGTGTCTTGGTCAACTGGGGTCGGTTAGATAAAGCATCACCAACCAAATCAAGACAATCGAGACATAATTACTGATAAATTAGGATCCAGGTTGTGTCTCGATCGCAGAGTCACGAATCGAAACATTTTTGTATAAACTACCATGAAGCAACAGAGGAGCACACTGAAAAATGACAAGGAGGACAAGTCTCATAAAGAAGAACCGATGGAAAATTATTCAGCAATAAAACTCAACCAGGAGAAAATCACTCGAGTAACCGAAAGGCAAAATACGAAACTAAAATTAAGTACACGATGATTGTTTTTTCCTATTTTGCTTATTTGGGGACCAGAGTGCTATACCATTGTTGATTGGAGCAGATATTGGTAAGCGGATAAGAAGACACTTAACACGGCTGCCGCCTGAAGTTGCTCTTTAACGGACAAGCCTTTTAACCACGAACCACCCGTCAGAAATGTGAGGCAGTTCTGCCATTGCAGCATAATCGGTTTCAGTTGGTTTTCGCCGTCAGTCTTATTTCTACACCGGCCACCCTCTCGTATGCCCCACATGAAATGTAGTGCAAATCTCAAGATAACGCACAATTGAAACGCAGACAGAAGTGCGGTCAAATCCGTTACTTTTGATGGTAAATTGACCTCTTTCAACTTCGGTGGTTTCTCCCACAATTGCGCCGATATACGTTGGTAGCACTCTCGGGATATAATGGGTTCCGGAAGAGATTCCAGGATGATCGACAACAGACGAACCAGTCGCTCGCTTGGCCATAACGTGGATCGCCGCACTCGCCTTCTTAGCTCGGGGTAAGAGCACGTCGCAAGCATCAAGGCGTCTTCCAGTGTAAGATCAGATTCGCTGAGCGTTTCATATGAAGAGAACACCTGACGGTAATATCTCCTCTGCAACTCGGTTAAGACCACATCCACAATAAAAAGGACTGTGCTGTGTGATAAGTTAAAGTGTCTACTCCACTTTACCATAGCAGAATATGTAGGTGCTCTCACATATAACTCGATAAAACCTGTGGATGCTTCATTGACTCCTACAGATCTTGCCGTAACTCTGCAAATATATTCCTGTGGTAATTGTGTCGGTAGCACCGTTGAGTGACAGGCATCAAAAACCGCTGGTTTACCACGGAAATTTGCACATTCCAGAATCCTCGAACCTGGACAAACACGTACCCATGTACGCTCCAGCTCCACGGAATTGAGACCGATCCACAAATGGCCCTGTATGCATCTTCGGCCATTACTTTTCAAGGATTGGCGTGGTGGTATCTGGAGGCACCGTGACCACAAAGTTATCAGGGAGCATGCGATGGAACGTTGAACGGAGTCCTTGGCAACGCATATGTAAAATCCATCCTTATGTTGCAACACTATCGTATTGTGTGGTAGATCAGAGTTTGTTTCGTCGTTTCTGAACACAGTAACCATTTTCATTCGAAGTACAACAAATTTGTTTTCGTTTGCACCAAACTCAAATGTGATCGCTCTTGGTCTGATAGTCATTTTGGCGGTTTCACTGTCCCCCGAGGCAAGTTGAAATTGTTGGCTGGAAGAAAAGGCGTCTGTAATTTTGCTACCAGCTAATTGAACAAGTAGAGAGAAGGACGTCTCAAATATGTCTGGTGGGCCGCGGGGTCCTTTTACACCGAGCGCCTGTTGAATACTATCCACCCACTTCTTCGTCACAGAAGCATAAGGGTGGAAACAGTGCAGTTCGTAGTTGGATTTTTGCTTGCCTCCAGAATCCGTGAGGTTCAGTATGAAACTTCTGGAGTCGAGTCGTTGTAGACCGCAGATGCGAAAGCATGCTTGATCATCCTGACCGTTGTCACCTTTCAGCTTGCGGTGCATTCGACCTCGGTGCAACAATTCCAGTTGGCCAGTGGATGTTAGCAATGCTTTAGCCAAATGTCGGTGGTTCCAATAAAATTGTGAATCCTCAGCGGTTGCATGAGTTTGATACTTGCGAGTGTACAGCCAACTGGATAACAATACGTTTCTGCGATCATTTGAGCAGTTCATTTCATGTAGATCCGGTGAATATGCCACAGCGGTTCGCAAGTTGACTATGCGTTGAGCTGTGCTTAAAAACTAAGCCTAATCACATGGTGTATCGATCAATGTTGCACGTGCGTGCTGGTATCAGTGTGAGACAGTTCATTTACAGATCAGCTAAGTATCAATCCACGGGCTGGTACACGGTGCCCATATCAGTCGGAACGAAGGCCAGGAACCAACTAGCGCGATTAGACTTATGCAGCACCACTGCACTAAAAATATCTCACAGATTCAACTGCGCAAGTTTCACTCGAATGCTCTTTCCACCGCACCATTAAATAAGATCGTCAGCTCACACTGACTACCTATATCTTTGACAATAGATGGGAGTCTTTTGGGGGCGAACCAAGGGTTGCATTTGATCTCGTACCCATGATAATCCCAGAGATACTGAATTACTACCTCTTCCAAAATCTTTCATGAACAATGAATGATTAATAGATGGCAGTTCTAGGTGTGGAAGCAAAAATGAGATTCGGTAAGGCAAGGGGGAGACCAACAATGAGGGAGTTGAAGAATGGAGAGTTCCCAGAATCGCACGTCGCGAACACTACACATAATGACCGGTTCCGTCCATGTTTGGATTTGGCAGCAAGATTTAGGCAAAGCTAACATTGAAAGGTGGGACGCAGTGATTGACGTCAGACGACTCAACGTTCAAGTCATTGAGTTTCGCGAAGAAAGCTTATCATGGCAATTAAGAGATTCACTGTTGGATTTTTGAGTACTCCTCTTGTTTAAAGTAAGGCATATGATTTCGATATGGTCATTTTAGTATATATTTATTCACAGTCTGTTAACAGACATTGTGCCATCAGAACCATGGCAGAAGAAAAGTGAAAAAGATGGGAACAGTAACTGCGATTAAATAATATAAGAAACGATTTTTTTGGTTTTACACACGCCATTTTGTATCTTTTGTTTCGTTTTGTGTTTTTGTTTGTCTCAAAGGAATGGTAAAATGGCAGAACAACATTAACGCCACTGGTATCTGTTGCGGGCCATGATGTCTAATGTTTTCAACCACTGCGACTCAGCATCTCTTGGTCCTCAACCTGGAAGACGGACTGGTCCGACTGCCGCCAAACTTGAGGTTGCCTTCTTCATGCTCCTTCTCCACGTCATTAGCTGTCTACCGCGGCACCTTTTCCAATCGCTCCCTGGGAGTGCAAATAGCGTTCGACTTAGAAGGCGATGGGCTGGCATGCGCAGAACGTGCCCGAGCCAACGCATACGAGGTCGGAGAATAACGTCCTGAAGACTGGCACTATTCACCCCAAGCACGCGGTCTCGCACCTCAGCGTTGCTTATGTGGTGTTGCCACCACACCCGAGCAATCCTTCGTATACAGCCATTGTCGGAGACTGACAGCCGCTTCATATCTTCCGAGCGAATAGGCCAAGTGTCACAGCCGTACAAAAGTACTGCACGGACGGAAGCATTGTACACCCTGCCCATGAGCTTGAGACTGACATCACGACGACGCCATGGGTGTCTCCGTTTGATGAATGCAAGGCGGGCCTTTGTAATCCGTTGTGAGACTTCATCTCCAACACCGCCACCAGCCGTGATGCAACTCCCTAGGTAAGAAAAGTAAGGGGCTTGCTCCAGAACATGTTCAGCAATGGTGAGCACGGGTTCAGTCACCTGCCAGTCCTGGAGCAGCGTATTACATTTTCCCGGAGTGAATCATAAGCCGTACATAGACTCCTCCATCGCCGAGCGGTCCAAAGCGCTCTGGACTGTTTGATAGTCCTCCCCCAGCACGGCGATATCATCGGCGTAGTCCAAGTCCGTGACTCTGTTTTCAGGGAGGAGCTTAACACCGCAGTCCTGGACACCTTCCAGTGCCGTTTGAAGTACCTTTTCGATGGTGAAATTGAAGAGGAAAAGTGAAATAGGGCAACCTGGGAGAACACCGCTGGTCACAGCAAATGAAGAACAGTGCGTGCCGTAAGCCCTGACTTTGCCCGACGTGTGACTGTAAAGTTCTTACAGGATAGTTACAAAC